CCCCCCGGCCCGGAGGGCCCCCCCCCCCCTTCCCTCAGTTCTGTCATTTAAATAAAGCAGTTAAGGATCCGAGCACGTCTGCTAGTGAAGTATATTTTTTCAGTCTGTTACTGATAATTAATGTATGTACAACACTTTGATGACATACAACATCCTGTATTGGTAAATGTGGAGTACTACTACTATATCATCTGAATTTTATAAATCTCTACTTGAGCAAGTGATTTGTTATAAAGGACATTACAGATTGTTGTAACATTTTAAATTAGTTTCTCTATGACTGCCAATTTATAATTACATTAACAAGTAGCTGCTCAGAAGTAGCTTCAGTTCTCAGAAATAGTAATCACCCAATTTACTGGACACTTTTTCCCTATAATATTTTTTTACTTGTTCCAGGTTAGCCTTAGATGACAAACTTTACCAGAGAGATTTAGAAGTTGCATTAGCCTTGTCAGTGAAAGAACCATCTGCAGATGTCATTGAAGTGCAAGAGTCACAAGAAAAAGGTTATCTTTACAGTTTAAATGTTTCAATTTTTTCCATTTGAAGCTGTTCCTTGCTTGTATTTGGGATCCTTGGTAGCTGCTATATAACTGTGCTGGTTTGTATTCTTTCTTTTAATAGATTAAGACCTGAACACTTCTTTTTATTTTATTGATGGGATGAGGTTTATCCTGCAAAATTGTGGTAGTACTAAGTAGTACTGTGCAATTTGGGAAAAAAAATACCTAATACAGCTACTTGTTTATAATATAGATTAGATTTCACATCTGGAAACTGCAGAAACTTACTTTGGCTGAATTCTTTTATTTTTTTGATATCCTGACTCTTCATAATGCTGATTTTCAAAAATGTATTTCATGCCCTTTTTTTTATGCAGACACTAAAAAATGTGCAGCTATTGAATTAAAAAATGTAGGCAGCAGTTCCCTCCTCTCCAACTGCAGTGAAGATAGAGCTCTCTTAGGTAAGTTATTTTTGTGTCCACCTTTTATTAAAATTTGTAGGAATTGAGTTCAGATTTCCAAATAATCTTTTTTAACCAGTTTATCACGAAGAAGTGAAAATAAAACGCACAACATGCATACATGCGTGCACACAAATATTGTAAGGTCCTGTTTATCTCCATAAAATATCTGAATATTTTCAGCTCCCCTTACTCTTCAGTCTTATCACCTTGCAGCATTGAGCCTATAATATATGACTCAAGGTTCAAGTTGCTTAGGAGTGAATGGTACTTATAAGAGCAGAAATGTTGTGCAAACATGGCCAAAATATGTGCTATGCATCCTAAGATAAGGCATGTGTATGCCGCACTCTATAAATGGTTTTACACCTTTGTCTTTTGGATGTTTGATTCCAGAATAGCATTGGTAAATTTTACCAGCAAAGTGGACTCACCAGAGCATTTTTCAAAAAGATAAAATAAGATGAGAATTGGAAACATTTGAAAAAGCTCAGATGCTGTGCAGTTGGTGATGATCTTCAGAAATGTTCAGACTCATTTCCGGAGTTAAGAACCCAAGCCACATGCAACTAGTCTCTTTATTAATTTGTGTTAGTAAGACCAAGGTTTGTCCTGCAGGTCCCAATCAGGTCACACATGACAATGACATTCTGCCAGGTGGCTGTAGGCAAAGAAGAGCAGCATCTAAAGCTGTGTCACAGCAGAAGTTACTGACAGATGACAGTGATGAGGGAGACCATGCTGATAATTATGAGCCAGAGTTTGTGGCCGGTAAGTTTTCTGCTATTGCATTTTTCCTGCTGGGTATATTTTGAATATGTCTAATTGCATTGAGAGAGTACATATTTTCTATTTTCAGCCTTATATACCTTTGTTCTTCATTGAAATATATCAGTTGGTTATTAGCTATCTGTCCTGAATGCATTTCAAGAGACCAAAGCTAAATCTAGGTTTTTGACGTGGTCAGTTGAGTTTATTCATCCTTATTCATCCTTCAGTGTGTTTTTAGCCTAGGGCAGTCTTGCTTAAAGTGGTCCGTGAAATCACTTTGAGAAACATGCTATTTGGCCTCACTGGTTTGTTTATGTACTGGCGCTGTGGCCACGGAGCTCCTCATATTGGTTCCAGTTCGCCATTTGCAGCAAAGGTGATCCATGGGAAGCGGCGGCCTGGCCTGCACCACTTCCCGCATATTCCCTTGGCTGCAAATGGTAAACCAGAGCTATTGGGAGTCGCAAAGCTCTGTGGCCACGGTGCTGGTAAGTAAACAAACTGGTGCAGCCACTTAGCAGCTTTATCAAAGTGGTTTCATGGACCACTTTGAGAAACACTGGCCTACGGTTCCAAACGTGGTTTTTTTCGCAGAATGTGCTTAAAAAACCAGGTGACAGCAATAAACTGCACTCTTAGTAAAGAGATGTTACATTTCATATTTTTTTCTTTTGTTTTAGATGAGGGATTAGAGAGCAATTCAGATTTCAGTGAGGAAGATGATGAAGACTTTGCTGCAAAAAAAGAGAAAACTAAAGAAAATAAAAGGAAACAAAATAAGTTAAAAGTGCGAACAGAAAAAGAGAAGAAATCCCCCAAATACAGAAATAATGCTACAGGTAAGCTTGATGTCATCAACTAGAAATACAAGCCTTGTTTAGACAAACAGTGAATAGGCAATTGGAGTGTGAATCTGCAACATGCAATTGCGCAAAATGTTAACTGGCTCTCTTTGAACCCGACTACCATGTACTAAAAGTTCTCTAGTGCACACTGACCTATTCATATTCCAAAGCAAAGTCATTTTCAAAAAGTGAATGAGTGAAAGAACATTTCAGGTACTGTCCCTGTACTTGAGTCACCTTGCTGATCTTTTTCCTATTTTTTTAAACATTCCTCAGTTCTGTGAAAGACCTGCGAAAATAGTTTGTCAAGCAGTTTCCCCGATCTCAGGTAGTAATGAAACTGTCTATACACAATCTCCTGTCAAATGGACAACATAAAAATAAAAAATAATGATTTAATCTTTTTGGGTAGAATAAATTTCAGTGTTAGGTATAACAAGAGTAAAGTAAAAATGGACAGAAATGTGATCTGTTTTTTCAATTGACCAAGTAAACACATAACACTGATTGATTTATGTTTTTTACATTATTTTACTTTGAGGTCCTTATCCTATAATTACATCTGTGAGGGCAGATCCATGTACCCACATGGATTTCTTGCAGGAAAGAAAGACCTTAATTAATTCTAGTGTTGTTAGTAGTACTGTTAGACATTTATTTACCACACTTGAGTTATAGGGTCACTGTGTCTCTTTAACATAATTTATAGCTAACCAACAGCTTTTTAAAAAATTATATCTTATACATGTGTTATATATAACACATGTATAAGATATAATTATATCAGCATGATCAGCAGGACATCCAAAAAAAGACCGACATTGTTGACCGGACAGCCAGAAGCGTTGGGCTCAGAATTCACACTGGCAAGTCCAAAGTGATGAAACTGAGGACAACTAACACCGACAAAACCACCGTCATGGGTGAAGAGTTAGAGAAAGTAAATGACTTCAGGTATCTCGGCAGTTACATCTCGGTGGACAGCAACATCAACAAAGAGATCTCCGCTAGAATTGCCCTGGCAGCGCAAGCCTTCTGAAAACTTAACAGCATTTGGAAGTCATCACTGTTGCAGACCCAGGACTAAACTGAAGATATATAGGTCAAATGTGCGCTCAGTCCTGCTGTATGCCATAGAGACTTAGAGGACTAACAAGAAGATTGAGAGCAGACTCAGAGGCTTTGATGGATGGTTCCTTCGTCGTATCCTCAGAGTCCGCTGGGAACAGCATGTTACCAACAAGGAGATAAGCCAACACACTGGCATCAACAATGTTGTGGACTAGATCAAGCAGAGACGCTGGAGATGGCTGGGGCATGTCCTTTGGATGAGCAAAACAAGATTCCCTCATATGGCACTCAGATGGACTCCACCTGGAAAGCGTAAAAGAGGGAGGCCGTTGGGCACCTGGAGGAGGACTGTGGAGGAGGACATGAAAGGAAAGGCATGACCTGGGAAGAAGTCAACCGGCTTTCTCAGGACTGTGAAGGCTGGAGAAGATTTGTTTGCGCCTTATGCTCCATCAGGAGCCAAGAGGATTAATAATACAATAATATACATGTGTTAAATAATTATGCGTCAGACCTGCTGGCGTGGTTAGTTTAAAAAAACATTTAAGCAAAGTTATATATTACAGCACCATTTTAGTTGTGATGTGGAAATGTTTTTTCTTGTAGAGCTTATGGCAGATTTGTGTTAACTTGTCACTTCATGCAGTTCTAACAATATGTTGCATGCCCGAAACCAGATAAAGTGGTTATAGTGTCTACTTCCACAGTAGGAAATAACTATGAAGCTGTAACATACTCAATTGGAAGATGTGATTCTCAAGATAAATGCTTCTGTATTTCTATGAATTGAATGATCCTCACTTTCACAGTAATTTTGTGCAGTGTGATTTCTTTAATAAAGAACACATTTTTTCACAGTTTTTTTTTCCCCCCCCAGACAAAGTGACTCCAGTAGTTTCTTCTCCATGGATTATCCAAGCAAAATCTCAGTCAACACTGGAGAAGTCATCAAGTTCTTCGGAACCTGTTGGAAAACCTTTATATACATCAAGTCCCTCAAGAGACAAGAAGAAGCCAAAATGGACACCACCAGGTATACCCTACACAGTAGCTGCAGACAAATATGCCTATTTAAATGTGGTTTTTAAAAGGTGTACTCAAAAGTATTTGTATTACTGAGTGAGCACCACATGATCAAAACATGAGCTACCCCGCTCACCTCTGAGTTACCTTTCCCACTTTCCAGCTACCCCAGTAACTTTCCTCTTGACAGGTCAAGGGTACTAAAACTTTTCCCCAGAGTGTGGCCCACATCTCAATATAAAGATTGTCTTGTTGACATCTCCTCTTTTAAAAGTTGTCCAGCTCAGTTGCACTGGATTATTCACTTTCATACAAAATAACAGTGGGAAAGTATTGGTGTTTTTGTAGCTGCCTTAGTACATAGGTGGGCAGTAATTTTCACAAGGAGACCACTCCATGAATTTTGGTAAGTCATCAGGGGCTGGCTCTGAGCCCCTGAAAGAGGAGGTACTTTGGGTGGAAGGGGCAGCAAGGCTGAGGGCTAAAGAGAGAGCAAGAGAGACTTTGTGACACAGATTGTGTGTGCGGCATAGATTGTGTGTGCATTGACACAAGTGTGTGTGGCATTAAGAGTGCGTGTGCTGACTGCTGGTGAGTAAGTTTTTGAGAGATGACGTGCACTGTCTCTTTAAAATGGGGAAAGCTTTTCTGCTCGTTTGTCTTCCCTCTCCCCTCCTCTGCAGAGACAGGATATATGGGGGGAAGAGTGAGTGAGAGAGCTGGCTGCTGAAGAAATCTTAGAAACGGTGTATTCCCTGTTAAGACGGGCAATTAGTCACTCATACGTCAGACTGGAGAAGCTCTGTTGTGTATGTCGCTCTCTCTGACCCCTGTTTTTCAGAGATGGGGTTCAGGAGCAGGGAGACCCCCTGACTTCAGCATTATGCTTTCTTCCCTCTTTTCACCCCACGGGGGGGGGGTTCTGGGAGCAGCCCAGCTGCCGGATGGAGGAAGATGATGGGAGCTGAGTGGGCTGAATGGAAATGCTGGGTGGGCTGCATTCTGACCACCCCTGTTCTAAAGACACTGCAGAGAAGCCTGAACAACCCTGAGGAAAAGCACATAAAATCAGATGCACTGCCAGTGGTGACATACTCGATAACTACAACAGAAGGGGGCACAAATCTGTGGAAGACACTTTTAAATTCCCTGCCCCACTTCAGAGTGACATTGACACATTTCACTCTGTTACCATAGTTCAGCATTTCTTAAAATGTGATCTGCTGTACACTTGCTGGTGCTCTGCAGAGCAGGTCACATGGTACTATATTCCTTCATCTTTTTATCAACTGCTTTTACAGATATCCTGTCTTTACTGCCACAAAGAGACAAGATACATGAAAAAATAAAGAAAAAAGAGCCCATAGACTGTCAGTTTCCACCAGGGCAGGGGTGAGCAATAAGTGGCCCACAGACCAGAGGTGGTTCACCAGGATTAGTCCTTGGCAGGCAATTGGCACTTTATTTACTTGTGCATCTGTAGGTACAGCTGCTTCTAGCTCCCCTTGGCCATGGATCGCTGTGGGAAGTGGTGTCCGCGTCTATACTGCTGCAAGCATCTGTAGCTGCAGACACACAGGCAAATAAGACACACAGGTGGCCTGCTAGAGGCTAACCCTGGTGAACTGCATCTGGCCCACAGCCACTTATTTTCTACCTCTGCAGTAGAGACTGCCGCTATGCAGAAAGAGAAAAACTATGAATCTCCCACAGGATCTGTTCTGTCTGAAACTGAGAGCTACCTCTCAGAGTCCCCAACAGGGCAGGGTCAGGAGGTATAAGCAGAAGAAAAATATTCCAAGGAGCATTAAACTAGGCAATTAAGCAACATGTATAATAGGAAAGGAGGACCCGAGAGGCGTGTGTAAGAAAAGATGACCAAGCAGAAAGGATCCACGTGGAGAAGAAAACAGATGAGAATGAGAAATGTGAAATAAAAAGCAAGAGTCAGCAGCAGTGTGATTTAACTTTTTCAAAAAGGACCAAATACTTGTAATAAGAAGGTTACTTCTTAGCTCTTCTGCAATGTCTCATTTATAAGTTAATGCCAATAATTTCTGTTAATTTGTGATACTTGTTTTATTTTAAAATGTTTTCAGCTGCCTCAGGATTCACTAGTAACCCACTGGGAGGAATTTCAGTTAAATCACCTACTCAGGGTCTCAGACTTGGCCTGTCCAGATTAGCACGAGTCAAACCACTTCACCCAGCTGCTGCTAGCAGTTGAATGATCTATGGAAGTGTCTCTCACTTGAAAGACTACAGCTTGAAAAGAATTGAGTGCGTGGAGCGGTTCTTTTGGTTTTTACACAGGATTGAAAACAAATGAGCAGTAAATTATTCATTAAACTATTCATTCAGAGAGAATAAATGCTGTTGTTATTGTGAATCTATTTTTAATAAAAGGCCTACATCCTTCAGGGTGTGGTGTAGCACCAGTGAAGTGCTGAGCATCTTCAGCTGCTCTTCAGTAACATTACTTTATCAAAGAGACATCAGGTTGCTCAGTACCTTGATGGATCAGGCCCAAAGAAAGGGATGGTGTATTTGAGATTGTACCCTCCTGATGTCTAGCCTTTTTTGGGGGAGGGGGGAGGAAGGAGAAGGGTATTATGCATCTAAATATTAGGGATATAAATGGTTAACTGGTTAACCAGTAAGCATTATCCTTACTGGGTGATGCTTACTGGTTACGCTTTACTGTTGGGGGCTGGAGCAGCCCTTTGCCTCCCATGGGCAAGGGGCTGCTCCAGCCCCTCAGGGCCTGCTGTGGAGGGGTTGCTAGAGCCCAGCTGCAATGGGTGGGGGGACTGCTTCAGCCCAGCCAGACTGGAATGCCCCTCTGCCCATCCCATTTAACAGGTTAACCAGTTTAACATAATGTTAAACTGGTTAACTAATGAAACGGAATTTTACATCCCTACTAAATATATAGAATAGAATCATAACAAACTTAAATTTACAGTTTTGTATTCATTCTGTTAATAGTCCAATTAAAGAATACCTTTAGTAAAGTGAAATCATTGTTTCTCTTAGTCCAGAAAAGTTGACTCTCAAATCATTGTTAAAACTTACTAATATTTGTATTTGTATAGATTTTGTTGCTAAGAATGTATAGTGTGCTGCTTAGAAAACTGCATTTTTATAAAAGTAAAATAAAATATATTTTATAAACAGCTGATGTTTGTAGCAGTAGCCACCTTTATGCATTTTGAAAATTTCTTATAAACATTGACCGTAGTCCTGCAAATATGCAAGCATAGCCTTTTGATTGTGATTAGTCCTTGAAGTCAATGGCACTATTTGAGACAAATCTAAAACCCATTGAAATTAAGCACTTACTTAAATGTTTGCAAGATCAAGGGATTTTATGATTATTTATTGCATAATAAATAGATTTTCATAAAGTTTTGGAATGGTAATTAGCAAACTATCCTGACTGGACCTTCATTTAGAAATGGTGAACCCATGAACCAAAATCAGTTCTAGTGTAAGTAGGTACACTCTCACAAAAGACAGTTGTGCGAGTTTACACAAGGGATGAATTTGACCTTATAACAATTTCAAAGGATCAGGTAATGAATCAGTAAATCATTTGCAATTAGATGATAGTTTTTAATTTCTTAATCTCCTTCAGTATGGGATATGGGGTAAAGGCATTAAAGAGATAAATAACCCAATTTTTCAGAATAAATATTTAAATAATATAATTTTGTGAAGTATTATGCTGTTTTAAATAAAATATAACTTAATTGTAATTTAATCCTTACAATTATACTTTCTGCAGTACACGTGATTATAAAAAATAAAACACGATAAAGATTACTTTTTGTGGACTTCAGAAACAGGAAGGTTTATTTTTTTCCTTGGAATGATTAAGAGGAATTCTTGGATGCAAGTAATGGACTCAGTTTTTTAGACAAGTCACTTGACCTCAGTCATCTCATTGGCAATGTTAGGTAAATTCTGGAACTTCAGTGAAGGACAAGTAATACTTTTCAGTTGTTTTATGCAGTTTGAGCTCTCGATTCATTCAAAATAGATGCTTACTCTACATTCATACGTGATTTGGTTTCTGACATAAATGCCAGCAATTGTATAGTTAGTTGTACTGGCATCAGATTTCATTTGTATTGTTGTTTTACAATCAGTGCATCGACACTCATCTGACCAGCTCTCCTCCTTTATCCAGGCTTGGGACTGGCATATCAGTGCATGGGATGAGAATTAACAACTTGAGGTTTACGGATGATATAGTTATCATCGAGGAAGATGAAGAGAAGCTAGTGAGAATGATGCAGGTGCTAAATGAGGAAGGGAAGCAGTATGGACTGATTATGAATATTGATAAGACGAAAACAATGGTATTTGGGGATAAGGAAATAGGAAGGAAGATCAGTGTAGATGGAATTGAACTAGAGAACATAGAGAAGTTCATGTACTTAGGGAGCAACATGACGTATGATCTAGACTGTAAGAAGGAAATAACGACTAGAATAGCGAAAGCAAGAGTGAATTTGAAGGCGATGGATAAGATCTGGAAAGTAAAGTGATTAGCTTAGGAGTGAAACTGAGCGTCTTGAAAATGTGTATTTAGCAGCATGTTGTATGGATGTGAGACATGGGTGATAACGAAAGATTCAAAGAGAAGTATATCGGTGTTCGAGAGGAGGAGTTATAGAAAGATCCTGAGAATAGGATGGATGCAGGAGGTCACCAACAAGGAATTATGTAGGAAGATACAGCCCAAAGAGAACCTACTGCAGAAGGTTATACAACGGAAGTTACAGCTATTCGGGCATATCTGTAGAATGAACAACCAGCGAAAAGTTAAGACCCTGGTATTCGGCATAACGGATGGTCCAAATAGGAGAGGCAGTCCGCACAGAGAATGGGGAGATGATATAGTAGATTCGTGCGGAGCTAGTCTACAGAAACTAAGCCACTCCGCACTGGACAGGGAAAGATAGAAATAGTGAGGGAGGCATCGGATACCAACTAGCATTGAGC